CCCCAAAACCCCAAAACCCCATAAGTTAGGATCTTAAGCATTTTAAGCATAAGATAAAAATTAGAATTGGACTTTAAACTAGATATTTATTTATTGCCAGAATGTAAAACTTAAACCTCTTATTATTTAAATAATTAACTTAAGATAATTTAACATAGATCCATACTAATTTCATCTATTTTTAATATCTTAACTGCTAATCATCATCTAGAGAGGGATCAAACTCAAAACCCAAAGATTGAGAATAGGAGTTGAGTTAGCCTGACTAGAAGTGTTTCGTAGTAATTAAGATCGATCGAGTTTGATATATAGAATATATTGTCATTTTGCAATTCTTTCATTAATGTTATACCCTGTTGTTTGCTTTTCTGTACTTCCTTCAGATTCTTTGCATAAAATAGTAAGATAAGGACTATATTAGGTTAAACATTTGTATTTAGTCGAGGAGCATAAAAATAAATTGAAATAAATGATAGAATCAATACACAATATGATATCTATAACTTAATGTCGAATAAGAACATTAAATGACGTCATCAATATATTCTAATATCTAGAATTATTTACTTACTAGGAGTAAAGATGAAGAATATAGTTTTGAAGTAAGGGGAGAGCATGTTGATAAGCCAGATAAATCTCTCGTAGGCAGTAGGAACATAATTCTTGTCAAACTTCAGTTGAACTCTTTGCATTATCTTCTTATTTTGTGCCTCCTGATTATTCAAAACGAGAATTTTCAAGTATTTCTAAAGTTAATGTCAATTAATACTGATGAATGCTGAGTGGGATAGTGCTTACTTAAGGATTAACTTTTTTACTGAGTGAGTCTAGCACAATATTTATGGAAAAGTCCTATTTAATTAATTATATTCCCAAAAATCTAAAGGAAATTTACTTCGAAGGCCTGAGTAACTTGTCGTCTACATAATGGACAATTCCTTGTATTGTTTAGGAAAAATTTGAAAATGCAAAGTTGGCAAAACCTATTCAAATGAAATTTACATCAAAAATCGATATCAGAGTTTGAAAATCAGTTAAGAATTTGTTAGGACTTACGTATGACCGCAGACTAAGGAAATGGGTTTGACGAACATATGCAAGCATATTGAACATTTGATATCTTTATCCATTATTTTCTTTAACTATTTCCTCTTTCGCTCTTGATTTTCTAGTTCTTTTTGTTCTTCGATATCTTGGTTAATCTATCTCTGAGATTTCTGGCGATGCCCATCTTAGAACTCTCTTGGTTTTTTATTATCATAGAGCTACTAGGTAACATTCTTAATGAAATTAGAGTTAATAGTTTCATTATCATTCATTGAGGAAGTCCACTCCATTAATATACTTTTTAATGACTTTAATACTAATAAACTTAATTTTCTAATTCTAAATTCCGTTTTAAATTTAGTCAGTAGGGGTTTTGGGGTTTTGGGGTTTTGGGG